GAAAGCCCACTGGACAGTAAGAAAAAGCCCTGCCAATGTATGTTTTGAGTAAATAATTATGAGCATTATTATTGCAAAAAATAAAAATGTGAAAATCTCTAAAAAATCTCACAATCAAATAATCAAGAAATTTTAAAAATTAAGAATGAAACAAAAAGTTAAAGCAAAAAATCCAAGGTTTTGAAATCCTTAAAAGGCAGTCCAAATACTATTTTCTTATCTGAGTATAAGTAAACATGGAATTAGGAATTTCATTGAATCCTTTATTGTAACATAAATAGATTTTTAAGATATTTACATTTAAATTTTCAAATAAAAATTTTAGTTTTAAATTAAAAAAATAAAAATGTATTATATGCTCTTAAAAAACAAAAGGAAACAAAATAGCCCATATAGAATAGCATGAAAAAGAAGAAAGAAAACAAAGCAGAAATTTTACAGAGTGTAAAACAGAATAACCCCAAGAAGAGCTGATCTATAGTTATCATCATGGGGGTTTTTTATTTATATATTCTACTCAGTTGTGCATGACAGTAGAATGATCTTCGATTCGTTGTACACAAATGGAGCACAGTTTTTTACTTTCACCATAGTTGTTGAATGTTCACTTATTCAATAACATTTATTGAGTGCTTTTTACATGCTCAGCACTGTTCTATTCACCAGGGATATGCAATCCCTTTTCTCATGGATCTTACATATGTACTGGTCAGGAGAGATTAATAATTAACAAATATACAAAAATAGTCTGTATGTGAGATAAATGCTACAAAAGAAAAACATGAAAGGTAAGGAAGTGCTGGTGGGCTATAGGGCATGTAGCTGTGAGGGAGTGCTCTGGCCCAGTTTGCCTTTTTAATAAAGCAGTGTGAAGAGGCCTGAAGAAGAGGAGGGAGCAAGCCCTGCATATCATCAAGGATAATGTGTATTTCTCCATTAAAGGCAGAGTCTTGCTTTGACTTTAAAATCCCCAAATATGTTGCCAAGAGAGAAATATCTTAAAGCAAAAAAGAATAAACATCAAGGCTTGAAAAAAACATGCCAATTAAATTGAGAAGAAAAGCATAGCTAGTAATCTTAGCATTCAAAGAAACATTTTTAGACCAAAAATGTTGAATAAACATTGTACTTCTTTGTGTGATAAAATATCAACAGTAAAAATTCATCATCATTGAGTCAATGATCTAAAATAATATATTATATAAGCTCAAATTATAAGGAATACTAGAAAGATTAAATAAAGTGTTATTTTATAAGAAATTTTAAATTAATAATGTCAATCTTTAATACATGAAGGTCAAGGTGAGAGTATAAGGGAACATTCCATGTAGAAGAATTAAGAAGTACTATTGAAATATATGTAATTCTGGGGCTTAGCTCAGCAGTAGAACACTTGGCTAGCACATACAAAGCCCTGGGTTTGATCCCCAGCACTGTAAAAAAAAAAAAAAAAAAGATTGCTTCGACAAGTGAAGAATTATGGCCCAGAGTCTATTTAAGGTGGTGAGAATGATAGATGGCATCCATCGTGAGCCAGAATACCGAAGGGCTCTACTCAGAATAAGTATGAACCAGAAGTAAATCTAAACACTCTCACATGCATCCCCAAGGAATTCAGCAAGGTTATCTTATTATTAAGCAAGTAGGGAAAAAAAGAAACAAAAACGCTATGTGGGAAGTGGTGGCCATTGGAAGGTCTCTATAAGACTTAAAACCTCAGATTGCATTGTCTGGGTGCTCAAGCAAAAGCTGAGATTTTGTTTCTGATGCTACCCCCAAGCACCTGGGCAAAGCAGCACAAATCCTCACAGGGGGAAGATATCATCCTTAACCTCCAAGATTTTTTCAAAGATAGTGACTAGTAGAGACAGTAAAAAGCAACTACTATAAAGAAAATAGAGTACCATGAATAACACAGGACAGTAAAAATAGAAAAAACAAACCCCCCGCCAAAAAAAAATTAAAAAGACTATTCATATTACTAGGCAGAGTTTTTTTTTAATGTATTTACTATATCTCACAAAATAAAAGGCAGTGTGAGAATATCCACATAGGATAGAAAATGATAAAAAGTGGCTCTTCTAACTTAAAAATATAAAATGCATCTTTTGGTAATGAAAAATACAATATCAAAGCCAAATCATAAATCAAAAATTTTAACAACTTTTAGAACATTGATGCAAAAATCCTGAAGAAACTATTAACCAATTAAACTCAGCAATATATGAAAATATTTCATAATGACCTTGTCGGATTTACATCAGGATTCAATAATGGTTTCACATTAGAAAATTAACCAGTGTGACACTGTTGCAGATTACAGGAGGAAAAAAATCCTATGAATAAGTACAGAAAAATATTTGAGGAAACTTAAAATTTGATCCAAATGATCAATTTTAATTATTTATGATTAAAACCCAAAATATGGGGCTTCTGTTGTAGTGGTAGAGCACTTACCTAGCATGTGTGAAGTACTGAGTTTGATCCTCAGCACCACATAAAATTAATAAATAAAATAAAGGTATTGTCCATCTACAACTAAAAAAAAAATTAAAAACAAAATATGTTAGCAGCCCTAGAATAGAAAGAACATTACTTCTTCATTAAGAGTATCTGGGGGTGGGGAAAATATAGCAATTATATAGTCAGATTTCATAGAAACACATTAAAAACTTTTAGCTTATAATGAGGAACAAAATAGGGAAACATTCTACCACCATTTATGTCCATCATTGTTTTAGAGGTACAGATTAACCTAGAAAGTTGAGGACAATATGTAAAAAGTTTAAGATTGGAGTGGAAAAACAAAGCTGTCCATGTGACAGATGATGCATTTGTGGTCACTGATAACCTGAAGTTAGTCTGGAAGAGGAAGCAGCCCAGAAAATCATAGAAGATAAGTTCAGAAGGGTCACCAGAATTCAGATCATGGTGGCCCTTAAAGGGCATTGTAAGGACTTTAGCTTTTCTTCAGAGAGAGATTAAAGCCATTGGGAGTTTCGATTAGGAAAGTAGGTGTCATGCCTTAGCTTATTTTAGGTCTTATTTTGGTTCCTTTTCTGAGAATAGTCTGAAGGGAGCTACAGGCAGAACATGGAGACCAGTTAGGAGGCACAAGAAAGATGATGTGGCTTATACAAGGTGATTGATGATGGTGACCATGGAGGGAAGTGATTAGATTCTATATTCAGGTGGCCCTTGGTTTACGATGGTTCAAATTACATTTTTTCAACTTTACAGATTGCAAGAAAGTGGTACACTTTCATAAGTATCCATTCTTTGGGATTTGAATTTTGATCTTTTCCTGGCCTAGAATACTCAGTAGGAAGTACCCTCTTGCAATATTAGGCAAATTCCAAGAGCCACCTGCTGCCTCCAACTAGCGCAGGCAGCTGAGCTAAGTTTGCTGGACACCAAATAAAACACGACACAATTTACCTTTACACAAGCTTCAGGATAGCTTCCCCAGCTCTCGGCCTCAGGCTTCCCAAAAGGGAGAGCTAGAGAAAGTCACAAGAGGCTGATAAGAGAGAGGGAACATGTTCAGAAGTGAGCTTTTATTGGGAGGACTCTTGTTCTTAGAAAGTTCTATCCAAAAAAAGGTCAGAAGGGGCAGGATTTTGAGGAAACAGGTGAGTGAAACTCAAACCTAGAGGCACGCCCTACAAAGAGAACCTCCTTACTACCCGAAGGTGGAGGGGAGCAAAACCGAGTCATGAGTCATGGCACTACTGTGCCAGACTACAGTGATCTTTCAGATCCCCATGGTGCATCAGGACTGAAAGGCCTGGTTACTCAATGTGGCTCCCACAGCCACCGCTTGGCGCAATCAGCCTTGAGATTACATGAGGAAGCAACTAATGCTCTACTGTGTGCTGTGCGGCTAAGCTAGGATGGTTGGAAGGTTAGATGTATAAAATGCATTTTTTACTTACAGTATTTTCAATCTTATGAGGGGTTTCTCATGATATAAGCCCAGCACAAATTGAGGAGCAATTGTATATATGAGGTTAGAGTCAATAGATTTGCTCGTAGATTAGATATATGTAGGGTCTGAAAGAAAGAGAAGAATTAAGAATGACACCAAGGTTTTTGGACTGATGGACAGTAATAATGCAGTTACAGAAGGAAACCTGAAGATGGAGAAGGCTGAAGGTGAGGGAAGTTTGTGTGAGGATTAGGAATTCTGTTGGAACAAGTTCAGTTTACGATGCCCAACCAATATTGATCTGGAGCTGTTGGTAAGCACTTAGATATTATCAGCCTGGACTTCAGGGAAGAGAACTAGATGTAAGACATATTTGGGGATCATCCACATAAAGAAGGATTTAAAAAGTCCTAAAACTAGATAACATCTTCCTAGTCTAAGAAGAAATCTAGGAACTGAGTCCTGGGGTGCTCCATTGTTTAAGAGTCAGGAACATGAAAAGGAGTCAACAGGGCCTAAGGCAAGAATGGTGCGCAGAAGTCAGCCTTTCTGGGCTGTAATGTAAACTTTTATTCTAGTTCCATCCAGGAAAAGGACTCTGTCTTCATCCAGACCAGTGTCTCTTTGGCTAAGTGAATGCTGCTTACAACCAGATTTCTGCCATGGTGCCTAAAGAGAAGCATGACCCTCAATTCAGGTCTAAATAATGACCTATGGTCATTATGGAATTGGCCTTCCCATCCTAAGGGTTGTTTTCTCACCACGTCTATCTGTTGAGGAATCTGATTTGCTGGTTTCAGGAACAGAAAACACTACAGGGGGAACTAAACTCCTTTCCTTTAGATTCCTTAATTAAACATCCCCTTATCAGTGAACAGGTTCTTAGTGACATGTAGCTTAGAAAAAGACTTTCTGGGACTTAACCAGACTAACATGTGTATTACAAACTCAAGCACTCAGAGCCCTACTATTCTCCTTAATTTAAGTGAAGATATTTTCACTAGATATGATATTAATTTTTTTCTAGTTGTAACATATCAATATCAAGAGACTTCTGTTTATTTCCTAATAGGATTAGGAATATATAGTGAAATTGGAACTATTAAAAATAAAGTCTTCGCATTATACTACGATCACTTGGGATTCATACATAAACTGACTCCAGATCACTCTGAAGATGGTGGGGTATTTGAAGGCTTTGGAAATTCTAGAAGTATTTTTGGACAGGTCAGTTATATAATGTGTTGAAATAGTTTGTCTTGTTTTAAGAATAGATTCCACATTCATTACACACAAAAAATGGGAAAATGGGGACATATTTTCCTTAGGATAAACTCTTATTAATGTACTTTTCTCTATTTAACTAAAGGGAAAATGTCCATATCCGCATAGAATATTTTCAGACCCTCTCCAAGTCCCACACAGGGCTTTAATAGCTTCAGCTCCACCCAGGATACCTGCATGCAATTGTCTTCACAGCAGAAAACACCAGATATTTTAAACTTGATCTGTTACTCTCAAAGCAGGCCCATGTGGGGTTGATTCTCTACCTCTCAAGGTTAGCCTCGAAGAAATGAATTCTTGCTCATCTTTCCTCTTCCATATTAATCCCTTTTCCTCTAGCTTCTGTTTTCCTAATGCCAACAAAGAAAGGCGCTCTCATCCTCTTCACAGATTGCACAACATAAAGATTTTTAAATAACTCTAATGTGTAATATGCTACCTGTGAAAGTATATATTCCTAAGAATTCACCATTGGGCATACTGTTATGAAAATGAACTTTTAGCCTATTTCTCATTCTCTCCTTTTCTCATTGTCTGAATTTTAAAATTCAGACACTCATCAGTATGTCAGCAAATTTTTGGATTTTTGACTGGGTTTAATAAAACCTGCCCTTTGGCTTAAAGGACAATAGAACAAAGGACAATCTAGTTTTAAAAGATTATTCCAATTACCAGGCCAAGACTAAAGTTAAAAGGATAGTGTTTTAACATCCCCTGTCTAATATATGTATCAAAGTGAGGGAGGGAGCTTCTTGGTGAGATGAGATGCCACCCACCACATGAATTCATGTTTGTTTACCTGAATTGGGGAATTAATTCTACATTTTTACAAAGTGAACAAGGTGGCAAGAGAGTAGAACTAACCAAAAGAGCAGTTTCCTCAATGTTTTACTGACTTCACAATTTTTCATTTTATATATAAAAGTTTAAATTATTAAAATGAAAAGCCTATAAGGATTTTTATATTCAGGACAAGTTTAAGGAACTTATATTTAACAACAACACCCCTGTCTCTCCACAAATTATGCATGTGTACTCTGGAAAAAAATATTTGCAGTTGTAAATATTACATTTCCCATTTTATTTTCATATTTTTATTGGTGCATTATAATTACACATAATGGTGGGATTAGTTGTTACATATTTGTACAGAAACTCCTCTGAATCTTGTTCCAGACTTTGCTAGATCTGCAAAGGGCCTGGGTTCTCCAATTAGAGTAAGGGTGCACAGTCTCCTACACCACTGTGGTAACTTCTCCAGTCTTCCTTTTCTTATTAGAATTTCCTAGTTATACATTCATCAGTTCCTAATTCCCCCTTTTCCCTCCTCTTTTCTGTCCCCCTCTCCCCTGTTCTGCTTCCTCAACTTCACTAGACTTCCTTTCACTTGTCTATTTATTTATATTTGATTGGTTCTTTTTACTTATACATAAAGGTGAAATTCCCTGTAGTATATTTGTATATGCCCATAACATGATTTTTAAAGAATTTATTATGTATTGCCTCCCCTTTCCCATCCCTCCATGCTACCTCTTGATATCCTTCTTCTACAATGAAACTCCCTTCATCTTTATTATATCCTATCCTTCCCTCCCCCTTTCCTTTATTTTACTCTAGCTTCCACATATGATAGAAGAAAACATGGAAATATAAGCTAAAGGCATTAAGAACATTTTCAATGAGAATAGTTCAGAAAACTTCTCCCATATTAGAAATGAGACAGGCCAGAGACTTGTAGGACCCCAAATAGACATATTCAAATAAGACACTCTCCAAGATATAGCATAATCAAAATGCCTAACACAGAAAATAAGGTAAGAATACTAAAAACTACAAGAGAGAAACATCAGCTCACATTTAGAGGCAAACCAATAAGATGCACTTCTGTTGTCTCAATCCAGACCCTAAAATAAAGGGTCTGGAATGAGATATTATAAGCTCTAAAAGAAAACAACTCCCACCCAAGGTTACTGTACCTAACAGAGATCAGTTTCAAATTCAAGGGGAAAATAAAAACTTTCCATGATAAGAATAAACTAAAAGAATTCATGAACACCCAAGTCGGGACTACAAAGGATACTCAAAGATGAACCGAACACAGAGGAACAAAAAAATAAATCCCAAAGCTCCCCGACAGAGGAAGATCAATAGAGGAGTAATCCACTAAATGAGACTCAAAACTGTATTAAATATAGCAAAAAAAATCAAAATCGCAGAAAACCACAAACACCTATACACACTAACACTGAATGTTAGTGGTCTCAACTCTCCTATTAAAAGACATAGATTAGCAGAATGGATCAAAAAAGAACAAGACCCAACTATATGCTGTTTTTAAGAGACTCATTTGATAGGCCAAGACAACAGGCTGAAGGTAAAAAGATGAAAAAATATTCTACATATACATGCCCTGAAAACAAGCAGGAATAGCTATGCTCATATCTGACAAAGCAGATTTCAAGCAAAAATTAATCAGAAGAGACAAAGAAGGCCACTACATCCTGGTAAAGGGAACAATCCAACAAGAAGATATAATGATGGTAAACATTTATGCCCCAAATGTCAGCATATCCAATTACTTTTTTTTTAAATCCATAACATTAAATCCCAGATAGACCCAACATCATAATACTGGGTGATTTCAACATACCCTTATCACCAATAGACAGATCATCAAAACATATAATCAATAAAGATATCTCCAATTTATTTTTTTTTTTAAAGAGAGAGTGAGAGAGGAGAGAGAGAGATAGAGAATTTTTAATATTTATTTTTTAGTTCTCGGCAAACACAACATCTTTGTTGGTATGTGGTGCTGAGGATCGAACCCGGGCCGCACGCATACCAGGCAAGCGCGCTACCGCTTGAGCCACATCCCCAGCCCATGATATCTCCAATTTAAATAACACTATAAGTCAAATGAACCTAACAGACGTCTACAAAATATTTCACCCTAAGACAGCTAAATTTACCTTCTTAGCAACAGCACACGGAACTTTTTCCAAAATAGACCATATTCTAGGTCACAGAGAAAAAACAAAAAATACAAAAAACAATAGCAAATACAAACAAATTGATAGAATCTCATGCATCCTACAAGATCACAAGGGAATGAAACTAGAACTCAACAGCAAGGAAAACAATATAAACTACATGAACACATGGAGATAGAACAAGACTTCTTAAATGAAGAATGAATCAAAAAAAATGCAAGTAAAAATCAAGAAATTCTTAAAAACAAAAGAACAGAAATACAATATGTCAAAGTCTCTTGGACAGTATGAAAGCAGTCCTAAGAGGAAAATCTGTAGCACTGAGTGCCTACATTAAAAACTAATCCCTTGGGGCTGGGATGTGGCTCAAGCAGTAGCGCGCTCGCCTGGCATTCGTGCAGCCAGGGTTCGATCCTCACCACATACAAACAAAGATGTTGTGTCCGCCAATAACTAAAAAAATAAATAAATAAATGTAAAAAAAAAACTAATCCCCCCATTTTAATTACGAAGAAAATGAGGCACAGAGAGAACACATAAGAATCCCAAATTGCACAGCTGACTAGTTATTGGAATTAGGCTTCTATCCCAGGCAAGTGGTTCCTTCCATGTCATGTAATCTGTGAAGAGGACAAGAGCTCCTTTCTATGTTGGCATTAGGAAAATAAGAGGGCAGGGTTATCATGGAAGAAGAAAGACAAGTGGGACAGTAGCCTGTCCTTTTAGCCACTCTATTTCCCATTCTCTTCCCTTCTCAGTGGGTCCTTAAAATTCAGAAACTGGGGGTTAAAGCATAACATAAAAAAGGTCTTGGATGCACTATCTGGGGGGTGTGCCCCAAACGATCTGCACTACCTACCACCCACTTATTGTCTCCTAGCAACCAAATCAGCTCTAACATCTCCTTGGAGCCTGGTACCCATGTCTCTTCTCACCCCTAAAAGTTCTCAAAGCTAAAGAAAATTGTGTTGAAAGAAGAGCTAGAGGTCAGAAAAGTAGGATGAATGTGCCTTTGGTGACTGCCAGGAGAATCTGTGACTCAGAGGAAGTGAGCAAGGCACATGCCACCAGTATACATAGTCAGGAGTCATGCAGTCTCCTTATGTTGGGGATGTAGCTCAGTGGTAAAACACTTGCCTAGCATGTGTGAGGCCCTGGGTTCAATCCTTAGCACCATAAAACAAAATAAAACTCTGCTAGGAGTCTCTGGCATGAAACTGGGAGCAGCAGCCTTCAAGGGAGGAGAGGCACTTCACAGGCCATTTCCTAAATAAAACCCCCAAAATTGAAATTCTGAAATCTGCATCTCCTGACTCCTCACACACATAATCGAAAATAAGTAAGTCTCTTTGTTCCTCACCACCATGACCATTTACAAAGGGCACAGGAATCTTAAACTGAGTCTTAGTCATAGGAATTCCTTTTCTTCCTCAAAGAGGAAAATACATTTTCCCTTGCACATACATAGATATCTATGTATCTAAACAGATCACACTGAAATATTACTCCAATTGATAAGTAAAACAGTATTGTTTTGATGTAAACTGGAAACAAATCTGTTATTTGAATTTTGTCATCATTGAAGCATAAAATAATTAAAGTGCAATATTTTCTTTTCTCCAATTCCAGCCTCCTGATATGGGATTTAACACTGCACTAGCACCACAGTTTCTCTCCTTCAGAGAAGTGATCTTTTTTGCCTATGTACCTCTGGATGAACCTCCGGAAACTATACACACCAAGAAATTCAATAATATGCATTATGAAAAACTTATACAATCCAGGTAGTTAGTGGTTTTGCCTCACATTTAATTAGATGGTTATTAGATTCTAAATTTTGAGGCTACTTTTTTGAGTAATTTTCTTGATCCAATAGAATAAGTTTTTCTTTGATACCCTACAAGGTCAAATACATTTATACACTCCAAGTTATCTTGCATGATTCCCTGGTTTTAGAAACATAGTGCCATTTACATCAGCATATCAAGCTAATCTACAGAAATGTGTGTTCCTTGAGTATCAGAAATGCCATCTTTCATAAAGTATTGTGTGATAGTTTATACAGAATTCTCAGGAATAATCCCAAGCTTTTGGCAAGAGCCAATGACTTTTTTTTTCTTGCTTTAAGTTTATTTGTTTTTACTGATGACAGAATTTTTATCTGCAAAATAAAAAATGTTAACAAACAATAAAATAAATCTGTTACTGTGTACCATATGATAAATGAAAGATCAACAATTGCCTCAAAAACCATTTCAAGAATTTTCTCTCTGAGCCTGACAGCAGGACTATTAAACCTGTTTTCCAGAAATATTCCATTATCAAACCTATTATTTTCCCAATTTTCCACTGACCTTCATGTCAGGTGTTCTTTTTTTCCCAACAGTATGCTTAATTTACTTTAAATATAAATGAACTAGGTATTGTGATTAAAAAGTATAGATGTTCTGGGGCTGGGGATGTGGCTCAAGCGGTAGCGCGCTCGCCTAGCATGCGTGCGGCCCGGGTTCGATCCTCAGCAGCACCACATACCAACAAAGATGTTGTGTCTGCTGAGAACTAAGAAAAAATAAAGGTTAAAATTCTCTCTCTCTCTCTCTGTCCCCCTCTCTCACTCTCTCTTTAAAAAAAAAAAAAGTATAAATGTTCAACATGTGTTAAAAGCAAACAATAACTATATGCATTAAATATCAATACACCGATAGTTTAAAAGCAAAATGTGTGAAAAGTAAGCAGGAGAAATTTGAATTAGAGCTATAAATATTAAATAAATTTCAAAAAAAAGTATTTTCACAGATAAAGGGGAACATTTCATACATATAATAGGGTAACTTCTGAAAGAAATTATAACAATTCTAAATATGTATGTACCTAATAAAAACTTTCAAATACATGAAGTAAAAATTAATAAAACTAGGAAGACCAATCCACAATCATATTTGAAGATTTTTTGATATAATGTTTTAGTTGTTGATGGACCTTTATTTTATTTATTTTATTTTATATGCAGTGCTAAGAATCAAACCCAGTGCCTCACACATGCTAGGCAAGTGCTGTACCACTGAACCACAACCCCAGCTCATCATATTTGGAAATTTTAAACTTCCTCATATTGCTGGAAGGATTAATGATATAGAAGGCTTAACAACATTATTAACCAGGTTGGTCTACTTGTTTTTTATAGAGAACTATACACAAAAGTGACAAGTAGAAAATTGATAAGAATATACTATATTTGTCATTTAATAAGCTTTGAGGAATTCTAAAAATTTAAAATCATGTAGAGTGTGTTTCCTGCATGATTTATTACATTAGAAATCAATCTCCTTAAGATATATAAAACCCACACCCACATCTTAACTATTTCAAAATTAAACAGCACACTTATAAATATCTCATAGATCAAAGAAGAAAGCACTAGAAAAGTAAATAAAAAGTCCTTTGAATAAGTGATAATAAAATGCTTAAAATATCAAAATCTCTGGAACGAACCAGTACTCAGAAAGAAGCTAGATTAACAATCAAATTATTTTCAAATTCAGTAGTAGAAAGGAAAAAAATAAGAGTAGGAACAGAAATATATTAAATAGAAAAAGAAATAATGCAATTAAAAGCTGATAAAAATCTAACAAGTCTTATCAAGAAAAAGCAAGAACACAAAAATTAGTATCAATGGAATGGGAGCTATCAAAACAACCCTACAGATACTAAAAATATATTAAGATAATATTACAATCATATGCCAACATATGCAATAGCTTACACAACATGGTCTATTTTAGAGATGGATCTGGGTGTTGCTGAAAAGAAAGTGTATTTAGTATATGTCTGCTAAGTCTAAATTATCAATTGTATTTTTTTAATTCTATAGATTCTTTAGTTTTTGTTTGGAGTATCTATTCAATCATGAGAGAGGTATGTTAAAGTCACCCAGTATTATTTTGTTGTCATCTATTTGATTCTTGAAATTGAGAAAGGTTTGTTTGATATATGTAGATGCTTGGGCATTGTTTGGGCATAAATATTTATGATTGTGAAGTCTTGATGACATATGGTTCCCTTAAGTGCTGAGGGCCATTGTCAAGTAGGAATGACGCATTGAATGTCCTCTAAGCAGCATGGGGTACGCTTGGCAAGGAAATTTCGATGCGTCATTCCTACTTGACAATGGCAGTATGAAATGTCCTTCTTTGTGCCTTCTGATTAACTTTGGTTTGAAGGCCACTTTATCTGATATGAGGATAGAAACTCCTTTTTATTTTCAAGATGCATGTGAATGATATATTTTTCCCCATCCTTTTACCTGCAGTCTGTGGATGTCTTTGCCTATGAGGTGAGTCTTTTGGAGACAGCATATTGTTAGGTCTTGTTTTTTAATCAAATCTAATCTTTTTTAATCTAGTCTATGTCTTTTGATTTATGAGTTTAGGCCATTTACGTTCAACATTATTATTGAGAAATTATTTTTTATTCCCTGTCATTCTGATTTACTTCTGACTTTTTCTTTGAATCAGTTTTTCCTTTGATTGACTGTTATTCTAATATAGTCCCTCCCTTTGCTGGTTTTCACTTTTCTTTTTCATTTCTTCTTCATGAAATAATTTATTGAGAATGTTTTGTAGTGCAGGCTTTCTAATTGTGGATTCTTTTAACTTTTGTTTTCATAGAAGGTTTTTATTTCATCTGGTGTCAATGCTGAAGCTTAATTTTTCTGGGTATAGTATTTTTGGTTGGCATCCATTTTCTTTCAGAGCTTTGTGTATATTATTCCAGACCTCCTAGCTTTTAGGGTCTGAGTTGAGAAATCAACTGAAATCAGATTGGTTTCCCTCTAAATGTTACCTGTGTCTGATATCTCACCTTTTAGAGGGAGAAAAATAATTACAACAACCAATGCAAACAATATACAGCATTAAACCAAATATTTTCTGCTATGACATCTATAATGCTAATTGTCACAATAAACAGAAATTATATGATCAGTTATTGCCCACAGTAAAAAACAGTAAGTTTACAAAAGGCATTACAATTTCAAATGGTAGACTGGGAAAGAACAGAAGTGATATAGGATATAATGATTATGAGGGAGGAGGAGAGAGGGATAGAAGTAAAAAGATAAAAGAAGAGTGAAAGGGGAAACAATAGAGATTGGCTGTTAGTGGAAGAAAAGAGAAACAACCAAGGGAAACAGATAAGTGAGAGAAAAATATGTATGTAAAGTAAAAAAATTTAAAAAAATAAATAAAAGAATGCAAAACAAAACAGAAATATTAATCAAATATCCTAGTCCTCAAAATACTGATCCATGAAAAAAACTTGCTTCAGGGGCTGGGGTTATGGCTCAGCAGTAGAACACCCACCTCGCAAGTGCGAGGCCCTGGGTTTGATATTCAGCACCACATAAAAATAAATAAATTAATTAAAGATATTGTGTCCAATTACAACTTCAAAAAAAAGAAAGAAAGAAAGAAAGAAAAAGAAAAAGAAATAAATAACTTGCTTCAAAAATGCTAGAAATGGGAAAAAACAAATATGAATATGTATAAATGTCCATGAGCCATTAAGGTCACAAATAAACAGAGAAAAGAAAACAAAAACAAAAAAGATCTCAATGAAAAGTTAAAGAATATGTCTGTTGGAGTTCAAAAAATTCTCAGCTTCAGTGTTACATGGGGTCACTGGAGTGAGAGAGGTAATCCCATAGGCAGAATTCCTGCAGGCAGGGTTTAGGCTTGAGTGGACTCCTTTCTTTACTGAATACCAACTGGTCTGGAGACTTTAAATCAGTGCACCTCCGGAACCCAGCAATTGACAGTCCACACTCGAAGACTGTACCCCAGGAATTTCCCCTGGGTTCCATGTGTGTGGTTGAGAAGCCAATTCTTAATCCACTACATCACTTGTGCACTCCATATCTCCTGGTCTCAGGTTCAATCTCCAAATTCAATCTCTCCCACCCCCATCCTTTTGAATTCCCAGGCAGGTGCATTTCTCCCAGCTGGTCTTCAAGCAGCTGGGTTGGAGAAGGACGAGGAGATCTAGGTGGGTTTTCACAAGAGCCAATGACTTTTAAAGTTACATTTAGGCCTAAAATCTCTTTTAAAAACAGTTGAATTCTATAACCTCAAATCTACAAACAAACAAAAAGAGGCTCAATGTTGTATTGCCAGAAATTCACTGTTATGATCTGAATGTGTGCATCTCTACAAAATTTCTAGGTTGAATCCTGACCCCTGAGGTTATGCATTAGGAAGCCTTGAGCCACATCCCCAGCCCCATCCCCAGCCTTTTTAATTTTGTTTGGAGACAAGGTCTCACTGAATTGCCCAGGGTGGTCTCAAACTTGCAATCCTCCTGCCTCCCAACTATCAGGAATTACAGGCATGTACCACAATGCCAGGATGACAACTAATGAGTTTTAACAAATGTTAATCAAATGTTTATTCGTTAGCCAAGGGTAGTATATATTATTTGTAAACTAAATAAAAGAAATTATGCTTGTTTAAGCCATGATGATGTCTAAATTACTTAATGAGCTTTTATTTTCTTTTTTAGTAAAAGTGGAAAAGCTCACATAAGAAAGATATTGCAACACAAGACTCCCAAAGGATTTTTGTCCTCGGTTATTGCAGAAACAATAAATGCTTTTGAATTAGAAGATGAAAGTGAGAGCCCTTGTTTGTCTAGTTCTCTTCTCATTGATAAAACTTCAAATTTCACCTATAAACTTACTCTTACATTACAAAGTAAGTATAAAAAATATAATACATCTGTAATAGACAAAAAAAATGAAAAAAAAAATCTTTCAAGAAGATTGTTCATGGTCGTAGAGCAATACAATTCAAATTTTAGTCCGGCTGACAACCTAACAAAGTTTATGTACACTTATGTTCCTAAAGTATTTATTTGTTCCTAATATGGTAAACCTACATAAAATTTCCTTAATATTTCATCAATAGTAGTACCCTGTTATTTATTCATATGAGGTTATTTTTCCTTAAACAGTGTTTAGAAGAAGTGAGAGAAAATAGGAATTATATGTCAATTAAAATGGGGAAAAATTAAGAAAATAAGTTTATGTAATTTTTTGTAATTTTTTTCCTATATAATAAATAATTTTAATCATTCTTTAAAAGAATATTTCTATTTCAAAGGATTATCTGATACAAACACAATAAAAGTTGGTATAGTTTATTATGAGGATTTGGATTTTACTCTAAACAAATGCAAAATCATTGGTGACTTCAATTAAGCTGTTTGTTGGGGTGGCATAGACAAAAGTCTGATTGGAATGGGTTCAAGAAAAATTATAGAAAGGAACAGAACTGAAGCCAGTGTGTAAAGATGACTGTTTCAGGGAGCTGCCCTAAAAAGGGGAAGAGAGAAGTGATGTGACCTTTTATAGGTATATTAGAAATAATTTGGGGTTTGTTTTAAATGGGAAAAAGAGTGTGTGCATAATAGAGGTAATTATGAGGCTCTCTGAGAACTCTTTTTACTTTTCCAAAGTGAGGTGCATCTTGCTGATGTGTTTCTTGACCCAGGGTGGGGTTGGTATGAGGGAGTGGTGAGCCTTTCTCAGAAAGGTCCTTGGGCAGAAAGTGAAATTTTTCTTAAAATGGTGGGCTGTCGCTTAAGATGGCCATCCAGATGCTAAGCAAGGACCTTACAGTAGGCTATGTTAGCTTGTCAAGAATTACTTTCAACAGCTTGCTGCTAGCAACTCAAAATGCACTAAAATTTGCAAATTAAGTTTGCATTCTGGAAACTTAATTTCAAGTATTACATACGCAGATAATAGAGAAACAGTCACACAGCCAACTGAAATACTGTAAAGGAAACATCACTTAATGATGTGAGAAATAGTCCAGTGGTCCATGTTCAAAATACAGCATTTAGCTTTAAATGTAAAATCACTTGGGTATAGGAAAGGAAGCTAGAGGGAGAGCAAAATGAAAAGTTGCAAGCAGTTAACACCAGAGTGTAAAGATTCACGGTCCCTTGACAAACAGGCATGTGAGAAGAAAGGGACCTTCCCCCTCACCAACAGAGATAAACTGTGTTCATGGTAAAAGGCACTCAATCCAAGAGAGCTTTCTCAGCCACAAGAGAACAAAGGGAGGTGGGGACAACTAAAGGTATATTTCTTTAAATCAACCAACAGTAGACAGTAAAACCTAGGCAGACTTGGGAAGACTGTGCACTCCACATTTCTCAGCCAATGAGGAACTGGAAGAGGGACTTCGCATTCTAGGGGATAAATTACGGGTTGTACCCAATCTGTGTGTCCCTGACTACCAGGCACCCAATCTTGCAAGACCATCATTAAAGTAAAGCCTCACTCTTTGCCATACCTCATGTCGCTTAGTCCATTCTTTGGGCTTGGATAGGAGAGCTTGTTTCTCACAGCGACAACCCAAAGACCTAGAAGAAGCCGGCCCACAACATACCCCAGTTGAAATGATTCCCCAAGACCACATTGTAAGCACATGGCCCACAAATGAAGGAGACAGGAGAGGGGAAGCAGACCTCAGATCAGCAAGCTTTCCTTTAATCTGCAGTGAAGTCTATTGATTAGACACAGGAGGGCTCTGCCCTTGCAACCTGATCCCTGTCTTTGATGTACCTACCCCCCTTAAATAAGCCACCAGAAACATTCTGTCTTTTGTCTAATTCCAGAATCCCTGTGGACTAGATCTATCAGGGGCTTTGCATTCTGTAAATATATTTCTGAGTAATTGTGCTTTGTTACTTACTAATTATCTGAGATTGTAAATTTTAGAGTGGCTTGGATTATTCTGGACAGAAAGAAAGACCCCTTAATGAGACGCCAGCCATCGTACTCCCCCCACCCCGTATGTGCATCCCTGTGAATATATTTCTGGCTTTATATTGTTAAATGAAAAT